GGTGTAGGAGAGCAGTTTTAAAGATAGAGAACCCCCCTATCTTTAATGTAACTGAAATATAATCTTTAACATTTACTGCCAAACATTTTTAAATTAGACATTTCAGATATAATCTGAAAGAGAAAAATCAGTGTCAAACATCTGTGACCGAGTACTTTGAGATGGTAAGCTATAGGGCCAACTGCATGGTTTCTATGCTTTTCAGCAGAAAAATCTAGAATTACATTTCCTCATGATTCTGATTAAAAAAAACACATTTATTCTCTTCCTTCTTCTGAGGTAAGCATAAGATAGTATTTACAACTGGAAGTCCCTAGAGTACACTTCATAAAAGTACTATTCCTTCAAGACACCATGAAGTTCATCATTTTCCATCTGTTCTTTTTCTCTTGGAAGTTCATCATGTCATTGAAAGAACACACCTGTTGTTTCCTGCCTCTTTTCTTTTGTGACAGTTTGTGAACAAGGTGAATGGACATCAGAGGAAGAACTGAAATATTTGGTTACAAGGTTTGCTATTGTGTGAGTTCCTTTTCCTCTATATCTTTAGGACACTTTTGAATTGAATTGAATTGAATTGAATTGAATTGAATTGAATTGAATTATTTTGTGATTTTTTGAATAATTTATTGTCACGTTAGCTAATATACAGTGTATACAGTGTAGTCTTGGCTTCGGGAGTAGATTCCCATGATTCATCACTTACGTACAACACCTAGTGCTCATCGCAACAAGTGCCCTCCTCAATGCCCATCTCCCATTTTCCCCGTTCCCCCCACTCACCCCCATCAACCCTCAGTTCGTTCTCTGTATTTAAGAGTCTCTTATGGTTTAGGGAACTTATTTTATTTATTAATTTTTAATTTAATTTCTATTTTTTTATGTTTATTTTTGAGAGAGACGTGCACACACACACACACACACACACACACACACACACAGCATGAGCAGGGGAGGGACAGAGAGAGAGGGAGACACAGAATCCGAAGCAGGCTCCAGCCTCTGAGCTGTCAGCACAGAGCCCAATGCGGGGCTCAAACCCATGAACCATGAAATCATGACCTGAGCCAAAGTCAGACCCTTAACCGACTGAGCCACCCCAGGCGCCCCTTGGGGGAATTATTTTAAATCAGTGTTCATAGTACAATAATTATGCACTTGCTGCACACTTCAACATTGTTCATTTATTGATGGGCTACCTGTTAAGGTCATGACTTCACGAGACTGACTTTCAAGCAACTCTCTCCAATAAAACTTTCTGTGATGATGGAAGTGTTCTCTCTTGGCTGAGCACTACTGTAGCCATCAGCCACATGTGGCTATTAAATACTTGGAGCATGCCTAGCGTGACTAATAAACTACGCTTTCAATATTAATTAAGCTAATTTAAACTTCAATCAGCAAATGTGGCTGGCGGTTACCCTATTGGACAGTGTGGTTCTGGAGGGTCAATACAGTTGGTAAAATAGTCTTATGTTCAGGGGACAGAAGGCACGAAGTTGTTTTTATTATTGGCACTTTCATGGCTGGAAATAGGTTAGAGGTTTTTCCATTTAAAACCATTTTAAGCTAAATATTTCTTCAGTGCTTGGCACATAAAAGTCAGTAAGTGATTGGATGGTATTACTAGGTCTCCCCTTACTCCACCCCCAGTCTCAGCAACTCATGTATCTGAGGCATCCTGGGTGAGGTCACTAACAATTTTCCCCTAAGATTGCCAGACCTGTAGACTTACCTCTCAACCTGCCTGGGTCTTGGTGGGAGTTCAGAGCGAGACAGTTATGTGTGCTGCTGTCTACTGACTTCCAGCGCTCCTAGGCTCCGCACCCCCTCGGTCATGCCTCTGGCTTGCAGACTTCCAGCCTCGCGTCCATACTTCTCCAAGCCAGACCACTCCTAGACGCCATCCACAACCCCCACTTAGGGCCCTGAGAGGTCTGTGGCCATAAGCACCCCTCTGCAGCGTGCTGATGTGACCTTGTTCAGTTGTGGCTCCTAAAACCGGCATCACCCAATTGGGGGATGAGCAATTGCAGGGGTCAGAATCACGCTGTTGGACACAGTTGAAGGGACCGAGAATGAAATCACTTAGACGACGTCATCCGATAGATGCTGTTTATGAAACACACTTTTATGTTGTGCTAGGCATTGGGCTACGCGCTTCAGATTGTCCTCTAGCCCTCACAGCCACCACATGTCTTATTTGTACATATTTTAGACATGTGCTTAGGCTCAGAGAGGGTAAGTGACTTGCCCAAAGTTGCATAGCTAGGAAGCAGCAGACCTACGATTCCTGTTTACGCTCTTTGGCTCTCATTATCGAAGAGGGACAGGTCTTCAAAATCAGTGCAGAAAGAATAGATTTTGGGTGACTATAAACAACGATGTTTTACTAATTTAAGGCCTTCACTGCAAACGTCTCCCTCTGTGAAGTATGCTGTGCCCCTCAGGAACAGCTCACAGCTGAGGCCTAGTGCTGGTGCATCGGTACTGTGATGTAAAGGCCTTCTTGAATAAGCAGGACGTTGCAAGTGGAAGATGAATTCTCAGGGCCTTTCTGATTCAGATCCCTTCTGAATACAATTTCCTCTCTTGAGGACATTTATTGCCAATTTACTCCCACATGACTACTTTTTTTTTTTTTATTTTCCATGCAATTCATAAAGACCATTCTTTTTGCTGGGTAAAACCAGAATGTAATGTATTCATCATTCAAATTTGCATAAACAGGGTATTCTCTCCCTTTGGCCAGGCTGTGTAAGAATCCACATCACGTTTCACTGGGGAATAAAGAATGGCCTGGATCATGAAACTCAAAGATGATTGCCAAAAGTATTTTAAACATTTGGCGGACTGTCTTAGTTCTGTTGGATATTAATGTTCACGGGAATGGCAGGCAGGAGAGGAAGAACAAAATATGATAGATTTCAAGTTATACGATGAGCTCTTAAATAACTGAGATATGCTGTTATTTTTTTTAACATAGTCTTAGTGTTATATTGTGCTCCTTAATTATTTCTGATATGCTTCCTTTGTGCCAGATGTTAACTAGCATTTTGGCTTTTTTTTTTCAAGTGTATTTTGTGTGTTTTGAGGGAAAACAACACTGAATGTCCTCAAGTTTGATTTTTGATATTTGTATTGTCAGAAAGTGTGCTGAGCTTCTGTAATTAGAATATAAGCTCTGTGGGACATGTCACTGAGGATAACTTTATGGGAAACTGTAGGATTAGAAAGCTGTTTTTCTCCTTTAAGAACATTTGTAATTTGCTTTGGGAAAGAGTCATCAATGTGTGTCCTCATTTTCTCTGTGCTCCCCATCCTATCCTCCTCCTGAACTACTCCTGATTGTGGCACCCTCACCTCACACAACTTGTGCCAGGGTTTGGACGTGAATGCCTACCTAATCTGAGGAGATCTAACATCTATAGTTGTCTCCACGGAGATGGTTGCACATTATGATTATGGCGAACGTTTTCAGTCTTGAAATGATCATCACACGTGATATGCCTTAGAGAGGAAATACCATGTATCCAGATGTGGTGGGTCAGGCAGAAACTGGGTTGGAAAGAATTGAAAAGATTTCACGATAGGAACAGGTAGGATCTCTATTTCAGAACACTGGCAAGGTATGGATCAGGGAACCAAACACGTTGGGGTTTCTAGCCTAGGATTCTAGAAGGAAGAATCCGTTCAACAGAGAATTTAGAGAAGAAGGCTAGCCTTTCTGGGCAACATAAAGAACATGAGCAAGGAACGCGAGTGGGGAAACTGAGACACGAAGGATGTTTGGGGAATGCCCACTGTTCCAGTTTGCAGCAGAGCTGAAGAAGGAGAGAAAACAGAGTTAAGAAAGAAACATAAGTCGGGGGCTATATTGTGAAGACCCTTAAGGATCAGCGTGAACAGTTTGTAATCAGCCTGTGTAGGAATGGGGGTCTACCTCCCTCCCTCTCAGGAGATTGGCATTTTCCACGAACTCGTCCACATAGTTTTGGCCTGTCTCCCCTACAGGGTAAGATCGTTGGTCATATTTATTTTGATTTATAGTACCCATGCTAAACAGATTCTAGGTTTGTGTAACATTTTGGTTGTTGACCGTATATAAATCATTGTGACTACATAGCTCCCTTTATAGGTGCTGATGTGTTTATTGTACTAATATTATGTAACAAATACTAGAAAAGTTTGTTTCATGCATTATATTTGTATGTTACTGTGTATATATGATTTCCATAAATTAAGTTGGCTTAAGAGTACCTTTGTTCAGGGGCAACTGGGTGGCTCAGTCGGTTAAGCATCTGACTTCGGGTGAGGTCATGATCTCGCCGTTCACAAGTTCCAGCTCTGCGTTGGGCTGTGTGCTGAGAGCTCAGAGCCTGGTGCCTGCTTCAGATTCTCTGTCTTCCCCTCACTCTGCCCCTTCCCCACTCACATACTCTTTCTCTCTCTGAAAAATAAATTATTTTTTAAAAATTAAAAAAAAAAGAGTACATTTGTTTACACCAGATTTAAAAAATGTCTTTTGGATAATTTCAATTTGAGCAGATAATTAACATGTGGCCAAAAGGGGACTCGATTTCTCAAAAACTAATTCAGGCTTAGACTCTTAGAGCTGCAGGGCCCTCAGCACCCATTTCTCCTGCTTCCTTCCCTTTTATTTTGCAGATGGGGAAACCAGGCTCAGTGCAAAGTCACATAATCAGTTATTGCCAATGCCAGGGCTAAGATTCTGTTCTCTGCTGTCTTTCTGCCACCCTTCGTATCTGAAATAAGTGACCAACAAAAACATTTAAAGGCCAATACACATTTACAATGAAAAAGTTTCATAGGAAACATCAAAATGGAGCAGTTTCATAATTCAGATAGGGTAGACATACTTTTGTTTATAACATTACATTGGGGCACTTGCAAAGTTTCTAACAAATCAGTTCTTAACTTATTACAAGTGGCACTCCCCAGTTTTTCCTAATAAAAGTTAACGTGTGGTAGTAATGGGAACAATATGACACCACACCATGAGATCATTTCCTCCCTTGCACATGGCCATGTTTTACTTTGTGATCCGGCTTCTGACGACGTGGTCACTGGAGCATCTTGGAGAAGCAAGGCCCCGGCACTTGGAGGGACATAAATACTTCCGCGTTATATTAACATCAGATCCTCTGTTCAGGATACTTTCCACGTTAAAGTACAACGAACCCCACTAACAATTACAGCAAGCGTCCTCTGTCCTGGCGTGCACAGGGGCTCTCTGCTGCATGGCCGCTGAATTCTGAACTTGTAACTAACTCTGGGACCCGCTCGCGGGAGGAGGCTGGTTTATCTCTGTCACCCCAGCACAGCCACAAAACCTGGCACGTGGTACGTGCACAAAACCAACGTTAGTGAGGTCCGGACACTTAAGGCGTCCAAGTGACAGTGAAGCAGCGAGCCTGGAAAATGAGGTTTTCTGGGTTCTAACCTGTCTGTGTTAATTCACTTTGAGGCAAAGGTAGATTTCGCCCGTCTACGGAGCTCCGGCTTAGTGTTTTCTTCCAAAGTCCCTGAATGCACTCTGACAGGAAGATGGAGCGTAAATCAGGCTGCTATTCACTTGGGAGGCCGTACTGTTTTGTGTCCGTTGTCCCCCCGCTGACCCCTGTCACCCCCGGGGCACCAAGCTGCTTGAAGCTCTCCGAGCGCGGGAGCTGCGGGAGAGGGGGAACTGAAAAGCCGCGGAACCAGAGGCGAGGGAGCAGTGCGGGCGGAGGAAGGACGAGATGGGGAACCGGCAGGCCTAGCTGCGAGGCGGCGGCAGCGGCGTGGAGATGGAGCCCCTGAGGGTCCTCGAGCTGTACAGCGGCATTGGGGGCATGCACCAGGCGCTGAGAGGTGAGGAGCACACCCCGCCTCTCCCTACGTTCACCCCTCCGAGCTGCTCACAGCCGGGGTGCGGGGGAGGGGCGAAGCGGCGAGACGCTGGGGGCGGAGAATGGAGGGGGAGGGGGCGCTCGGTTGTCTTGGAAACCGCCCCAGCGCGCCGTCCCCTCCCGGCGCTGCGGGCGGAGACTCCTTTCCTCCCGCCCCGAGCGATGCCTGAAGGGCGGCCCCACGTCTCAGAGGACTCCGTTTGTGAGTGCTCATCCGCGAGGCCAGGCTAGAAACTCAAACTAAAATGGTACCCGCGAAGGGGGGAGAGGCGAGCCCCTGCCTGGTGCGGGTCCCCAATTCTAAGTGTGGCTGCCACCTAGAGGCGTGGACACCTGCTGCTTTTGCCCTGGACGAAGTGGAGACGAGGGAGGGGAGGTCGCTGGGGGTCTTGGCCGGTGAGGGGATGGACTTTCGAAGGGATAGCTGCAGTTCAAGGTCGAAGTTAGGGAAGCCTAAATACACTGTGGAGAGAAGGCATTGAGTCAAAACCTGCTCCTTTGTGGCCTTTGAAAAGAAACAGCTGGTCTTGTCTAGATACTTTGGCGCCAGGAGAGCGGAGTTGAAACTTCGTTGTGACCTTGGGCTAGGTCCTTCACATTTTTGAACATGTTTCCTGGTTTTAAAATGTGAAAAATAATCTATTTTCAGAGAAGGCTTGTGAGGATTAGAGATGAGGCGAGTGAAATGTTTAATAATAGTGCGTAGTACATTGTAGCCACTCAAAGCATTATAAATTATTAGTACCTCTCTTTTATGTACGTCTTCGATTTTGAGATTTTAAATTTCTTTAGTGATAAGTTGGAGCTGAAAGGTTTCGTTTTTGGTGACGTTTGCTCAAAAATAATTCTTGAGCTCCTGTACTGTGCCAGGTACTGTCGAGGCACTGGAGAAACAGCGTGACAAATAGACTTGGAGCATGCGTGTTTATTCTTAAATTACTAAGACAACCACAAAACTGAAACTTGCCTGCTTCCTTTTTTTAGTTTCGAGAGTAAGAAAAGACTACTGTAAGATACAGAGAATATATAATGAGCTGAGCATGATCAGTTTTCTGAGCATATATATTTGGTTGTAGATGAGGTCAGTGATTATTAAATTTTTATTACTTACAATTATTTTCTGGCTCTCTATGTTCACTTCTCTTATCAAAATTTACTAGCTTGAAAACAAAAGAAAATTCTAGGGGTGCTTGGCTAGCTCAGTCAGAGGAGCACAGGGCTTTTGATCTCGGGGTTGTGGGTTCCAGCCTCATGTTGGGTGTAGAGATCACTTAACACGAATGAATGAATAAAGTTTCAAAAAAGAGAAAATTCTGGAACTATCTATTCTCTTAGTTAATTTTGTAAGATTTTATAATGTCAGCATTTTCCCCCTTGTTTTGAAAACCCTTAATGAACATAATTTTAAAGCTTGTTTTGTACTTTGTCATAAACTGTAACTCAACTACTCTTCAAGGGTTGAACATAAGATTATCCCCTAATTTTTTGCAAGTATAAATGTGCTACAATTACATTCTTGCGCATAAATTCTAATTTTCTCTTTAACCGTTTTTTCCAAAAGTGAAATTAATTTGTTTAACATTAAGAGACTGTGTGCCACTTAACAAAGTAAAATTGTGAGAATCTTTTTAAAGGTTTTTTGGTAGATAATACAGCAAATTAAGTGCCTCCCTGAACTACATATTCATTTGGAATTGTAATATCCATTTTTTAACCTTTGCTAATTTGATAGGAGAAATTGTATAATTTTAACTTGTGGTTTTTTTTTGTTCAATGAAATATAAGTATATTTTCTCCTATTAACCACTGCAACCTGAATTTGTACACATATTTCTGTTACTACTGCTACCATCCTGAATGTAAGCTTTATTAAAATAGTTTCCCAATTGCTCCCCTGCTTCTACTTTTCTTCCCCGCTCCACCCTTTCTCCACAAAAGAGAATGATCTTTTGCACAGTAAATCAGATCATGTCACTTCCCTGCTTAAGTGGCTTCCCTTTGAGGTTAGAATCACAGTCCCGTCTTCTCCTCTGCTTTGGAGATCTGGCTTCTGTCTGCCTCTTCAACCTTATGTGCCACTGTCCTCCTCCTTCTCATATCCAGACTCACTGGTCCTTCTCTGGGCTCCTCAAACCCTCCAGGTTCCTATTATGTTCTGGCCTTTGTTTTTGCTGTCGTCTCTATCCAGAGTGCTCTAATCCCAGACTTTTCCGCTGCAGCTGCATTTCATGTCTGCTGTCTTACCTCACATGTGGCCCCTTCAGAGTAGCCTTCCGTGGCTGACCCTGTGATTCAAAGTAGCCTTCCTGCTGTGTCTCCACCTTGATGGACTCTCACCTTTTGGTTTCAGGCCTACCTATAAGGAGTATTGACTCTTAATCATATCTGATGCAAATGTTTTCCCCACATGTTTGTATTCCGGTGTTCATTTGTTTGATGCACCAAAGTTTAAAATTTTTTTGTAATAAAATGCATTGCTGTTTCCCATGTGGTTTTTATACAGTAAGAAAGACCAAAGGTAAGAGCGCTAACTGCAGTATTTATTAAGGACCTTTTACATGTCAGGCTCTATGTTAATGATTTAATAAACTAGTTAGTGGTAAAGCCAGTATTGTAACCCAGGTTTCTGCACCTGACCTCTTAACCATGCTGTGCTGCCATTTTTATGTTTAAATCCACTACTTGAATCTACAGTTTATATAATAATAAGCACAAGAGGAATAATAACTTCAGATTTCTAGATAAGGTTTATGATCGAAACATTTTTTTATTGTGGTAAAATACACATAACATAAAAGGTACCATTTTAACCATTTTTAAGTGTACACTTCAGTGGCATTAACTAAATTCACAGTGTTGTGCAAACATCAACACCATCCTTTCCAGAACTTTTTCATCATCCCAAACAGAAACTCTGTACCCTCTAAACAAGGACTCCCCATCATCTCTTCCTTTTTGTATCTGATTCACTTAGTATGTTTTCAAGGTTCATCCATCTTGTAACACAGAAGTGCTTCAATTCCTTTTTATGGCCGAATAGTTTTCCATTATATGCATATACCACATTTTGTTTATCCATTTCTCTGTTGATGGTCTTGGTTGTTTCTGCCTGTTGGCTCTTGTGAATAATACTGCTATGGGTATTGGTTTCAACGTATCTGATTCCCTGCTTTCAGTTCTTTTGAATATATACCCAGGAGTGGAATTGCTGGAGCATATGATAATTCTATGTTTAACTTTTTGAATAACTGCCAAACTGTTCCACAGTGGCTGCACAATTTTATATTTGTACTAGCAATGTGGGGGGGGGGGGTTCCAATTTCTCCGTCTATCAAAATGATTCCTTATTCCAATATATTTGTGTGTGTGTGTGTATGGGTATGTGTGTGTGTGTATATATATATATATTTTTTTTTTAATTAATTTTTTTTTTTTTGGTAATAGTTATCCTAAAGGGTGTGAAGTGATATTCTAGTCTGGTTTTGATTTTGATTGTTCTAACAACTGAAGTTAAGTGTCCATGTGTTTATTGGTCATCTGTGTATTTTCTTTGGAGAAATGTCTATTTATGGCTTTTGCCCATTTTGGAATTGGATTGTTTTTTATTCTGTTGTAGGGGTTCTTTATATATTCTGGATATTAATCCCTTATGACTTATATGATTTGCAGATACTTGCTTCCACATAACTGAATTTTAAAAGATAAATTTAATTGCTTGGGCAGCATGATAGTTTTGTGTGAAAACCAATGGACATTTTAATACCTCAATTGAAATTTTCATCTTAAGAAGGAAATGCAATGTGCTCTTATATTGTTGCAGTCACTATGTAGATACTTCTTTATCTTCTGAGTTTCATTTAACTTTATTCCTTATCTGCATGTCCATGTGTTTACCTACTCCATATCTTCTGGTATTTCTTTTTGTTCCTGTCTAGCTTCTAGCACAGTCCTACACTTGTGACAGGTTGTCTGTGGTTGGCTGTTGAGTTTATTATTGAGTTGGTAATCATTCTACCATTATGTTGATAAAAGCATGGTTTTTTTTAGCCCAAATTTTTATATAATACAGAACTCTTCATTACAAACCACATAATCTATTCTCTAGCTAACATAAGCAAAACACACACACACACACACACACACACACACACACACAGTTGGAAGCTCACAGAATCTACATAACACCCAGCAAAGAGGTTAGGTGAATAGGAGCACTTCTCAAACAACATTCTGGGCTTTGCTCCTACACAGCTTCATACCGACATCACCGCTTTTCCCAGTACTGCTGGGGGCCACCTGTGAGAAGTGTCATCACTGTTTTCCCCTGAAGGGTGGATGCTTCTACCATCTCTGTCACCAGAATGATGGATTTTTTTCATTTGCTTCCTCACATTGCTACTTCTGAATTAAAGCTGTATATGGATGCAGTTGATTGGTGCACATTAGATCCCATTGCCAGCAAGGAAAGCTGGGAGAGTGAGTTCTGGGTTCTGTTTTGGAAAGAAGGGACTCAAAATATGGTAAAATTTTCAAACATAAAAGACACAGGCAGAGATTCTAGATGGCCACATGTATAACAAATATCTTTCACATTATTTAAAATATGTTGCACTGTATAGGGTCCACTTATTACTGCTTTGACATTATTTATGCCTACACAGTCTATAAATTCTTGGCTAATGAAATGAAAAGACCTCCATTCAGAAAGCAGTGGGAGAGGTTGTTTTGCGAGTTATATGTTTTAAAAAAAAATTTTTTTTTCAACGTTTATTTATTTTTGGGACAGAGAGAGACAGAGCATGAACGGGGGAGGGGCAGAGAGAGGGAGACACAGAATCGGAAACAGGCTCCAGGCTCTGAGCCATCAGCCCAGAGCCTGACGCAGGGCTCGAACTCCCGGACCGCGAGATCGTGACCTGGCTGAAGTCGGACGCTTAACCGACTGCGCCACCCAGGCGCCCC